GTGTCATCCCCAGGCTGGAGCCCCTGAGATGGCCATGTCCTCACCTTGTCCCCAGAAGGCGGACATGAGAACATAGCAGCTCCCTTTCCCAAAGAGGAAATGCTGATCACAGACTATTCTCAGGTCATAGCCCCCCACGCCCCAGCCAAGGGCCCCTCAGAGCCCATCCTGGGCTGGCAGCCGGGCAGCTGCCCTGCACTCACGTGGAGAGCCTCTGCCCTCAGCCCCTGGGGCCCTCAGCGCCACCAGCCACACCATCACAGCTGCTGTCCAGGGGCCTCCGGGGGGCCACAGAGCCGGCTTCCCAGACAATGGAGAACAAAGGAAGAAGTAAGGGGAGTAAGCCGGCTCCACCTGATGGGCTGATGCAGCCACTTCAGAGAATAGAAACCTGTGAGAGTGGCCACACAGGGTCAGCTAGGAAAGGAGCCAATCAGCACTGGAGCTGACCCACCTCATCTGTCTCTGGGCAGATTCTTTCTATAGAGGTTCCTTAGCCAGTGCCTGGAACCCAGCCTTCATTGAATTGCACTGGATGAACATTTGAAGACTTTCTCTCAGTTATAGAAGGTAAATGCCTTAGGAATTAAAGAACCAAGAGAGAAAAGTGATTCAAGCGTGGACATCTTTGTGACATTCAGTTAAAATCTATTGTCCTTACACTTGAGATTTTTAGGAGGGGAAATAAGTGGGGATCATGTATCAGGGAGAGAAAATCATTGTCATGGAGATGCTCCCTTCCATTATCTTTTTTTTTTTAGTTTTGTTTTCTTGCTTAAAGTATTACAAAGAGTAGTGTATATGTCTCCTCTTTTTTTTCCCCTTGACCCTCCCCTAGCATCCCCTACCCCCCAGTGTCTTGTGTCCATTGGTTATGCTTATATGCATGCATACAAGTCCTTTCGTTGATCTCTTACCCCCCCCCAACCCTCCTCGGCTTTCCCTCTGTAGTTTAACAGTCTGTTCGATGCTGTTCTGCCGCTGTATCTATTTTTGTCCATAAATGAGTGAGATCACGTGGTATTTTTCTTTCATTGACTGGCTTATTTCACTTAGCATAATGCTCTCCAGTTCTGTCCATGCTGTTGCAAATGGCAAGAATTCCTTCTTTTTTACAACAGGGTAGTATTCCATTGTGTAGATGTACCATAGTTTTT